CCCTCCCCTGGCCCAAAGTTACCTGACCCTGAAAACATTTTTAAAAGAAGTAGAAAATAGAAACATTACTTGACAATTTCTAAGATCGACTCCCTCTGTTTTGAATTTACTCCTTGGCATACACATGCTAAAAGTTTTACATCAAAACTGTCTGAGGGATTTTCTTTCAAAATATGTCTTGCCAACACTTAAAACTGAGAGTTTATTAAAAAGTTGGGGAAATATTTGGAGATTAAGGAATCTAAATTCAATTTGCTCTTGCTGATAATTGCTATATAACCTAACATATGTTGATGTTATTTAGAAGATATAATTGAAATTCTACCATTATTAAATTTACCCATAATTTGGTAGGAAAGAACCCCATAACAATAACATAACTGTATCTATCCACTCCAATTTGTGAGGCAAGGAAATAAAAAGGTATTGTGGAAGGCATACATGGGGGTTAGGACAGAAAAGGCCAGCAAATCATGGGTTGGATCACACTGCTTAGAACTTTCCAGTGGCTTCCCATATCTTTCAGAGAAAGCCCAATGCCCTTTGCAAAGGCTTGGATTTCCTCCATTCTGATCCTCCCCTTCCTGTCTAGCTTCAACTCCTCTCCCACCCTTCTCATTCACTCAGTTCCAGCCACACTAACTTCTTGCTGTTTATTAGACAGTCCAAACATAAGCCAGGCTCAAGACCTTTGCGTACATTCATTCCCGTGCCTAGAACACTATTCCCCCAGATGGCTACATGCTAGCTCCTGCATTTCTTTCAGTCTCTGCTTCAAATGCCACCTTTTCGGGGAGACTTTTGTGGACCACATTATGTGAAATAGCAGCCTGCGCTATCAGTCAATGATACTTGCTGTTTCCAGTGCCCCTGATCCCCTGGTAGCCCTCTTTATTTTTTTCCAGAGCACATGAAAACATCCGACATTCTACATATTTGTTGGTTTGTTTGTTGTCTGTCTTCTCCCAGAAGGCGAGCTCCATTAGGGCACCAACTTGACTTTGTTCCCCAGTGTCTACAACAAGGCCCGGGACAAAGTAGGGACTCTGCAAATATTTCTTGAAGAAATGAATGAAGAACAAAATGAATGGTCAATTTTTAAATCCTATCATAATTTTGTATTTCTAGAACTCTTTACTTTTGTTTCCCCACAGAAAAATCATACTTATCTTTGTTCCTGAGTCTTAACTCAGTAGAGTTATAAGTAGATATATTTAACATTAAAATACAAATCCAGAGTTTTTTAATATTTAAAATTATATATTGATATTGGTGAAATGTTTTCAAATACAATCCTTTTTTGTTTTTCATTATTACACATATTGCCTTCTCTCTTCTTTCCTTACTTAAATAGTAGTTCTCATTGGCCTGTCCAGTAAATTCTCTCACACAATCATTTCTTGATTGGTTTCAATTTGTGTTGCACTTGGCTCCATCTTCTCTTCATTCTTAATGTTTTCCTCAATCCCACCAATGTCTCTGAAGCACTGAAAACTCCCTAATTTCTGTCTGCCATGGGCCTAGCCTTACTCATGTATCTTTCCCTGCTGGGATGCTGCTCTTTGAGTTTATTCCAACTGTAACCTTTGGACAAATACATTCAACTGAGATTCGTCATGCTACTGAATTCTCACAAAGCTCTTCGAGCAAAGTTGTCCCTGATTTTGATGATTCATGTAAAATATTAGTTTCAAAACAAGCTAATGTGTTCCTTTCCTTAATAGTAATACATTGATAAACATAAATATATTAAATACAGAGTTAAAGGTTAACCTTTTTCCCTGTGTTTCTGTACTTTTTATGTTTTTTTAACTCAAGCATAAAACTCTTTTTATAGAGCTCTAAACTTTAAAAGAATTTAGAACATTATGCTTTTTCATAACTTCACAACCTCTACCACATGCTGATAAAATCCTTTTTTCCTACTCCTAACTCCCACATGGGTCTAAAATCTGCATATAATCATTGCAGTCCAGTAGAACTTCTGCAATGATGAAAATGCTCTATACCTGCACTGTTCAACACAGTAAGCATTAGCTACATGTGCCTATTGAGCATGTGAAAAATGAGTAGTACAGACAAAAGACTGAGTTTTTAATGCAAGAACAGGATCCTTAACTAAGATAAATTTACCCTACCAAACATGGAAAGAATGGCTAACACACAGCCAATGTTAGACCTACATCTATATCCACTTACAAACCCCATATGCTTTTCCTTTCTTGGTCACGTACTTCACTACTCCCTATGTTTTCCAAGCAAATTTCTTAGAAAAACTAAAACTGAAAAACTACTTTGACAGCCAAGTCTCAGGTCTCTGTAATGAGGGAGTACATGGGTAACAAAAATGAATCCAGGATTTACATCAACTTTGGGTTTAAAATTGTGTACGCTTACCCTGCTTCGGCAGTAGTAGACTATACCTCCTTAGCTGGGTAATTCATTGGTTGAAGCATCGTCCTGATATGCCAAGGTTGTAGGTTTCATCTCCAATCAGGGCACATACAAGAATCAACCAATGAATACATTAATAAGTGGAAAAACAACTTGATGTTTCCATCTCTCTCTCTCTCTCTCTCTCAAATCAATAAATAAAATGTTTTAAATAGTAGAATATACTTCAGTTTATCCCTCTTGACCACACTGTACAGGTTCTTATAAGCCATGACTTCCAGATGGTAAGATTCAGAATGGACAAAGAGTGTCATTGAGGCCTTGAAAACCAGATTTCTAAAATACCACAAATGTTTGATTACATAAAATTTAAGTTCTCCTTTTTTGTCAATGCATTATTACTACCTATAATATTTGGACATAAGTTGAAAGCTGACAGTGTTTTTAGCATTATTTTTGAGAAAATATAAAAATTTAAACTTATCCAAATGAATTCACTAACTTAAAATATGCTTATAAAACTATACAGTATATGTTTGACTCTTAAATTTATAATATTTATAATTAAAGAATTCCTTATATCATAGGTCATATCACACTTTTATGTATATTTGCTTCTTTGTATTTCATAGACTCCTTCCTTACAAAGGAGTAGGGACTCCTTTTCTGTCATTCTCTAGAGTTCAAATCTGCGCAGTGTGGATTCAATGGTGCCGCACCAGTGAACAGAACATTAGCTCAGAGCCAAACAAAATATACTGAAAGCCTTATGGGGGGGCAACACTTGCCCACAGAACACAGTGCCTATTCCACAGATCAATAATTTTGAGATACTCCCTGAATAAAATAAATTGAAAAGATTTCTAAATCTTTTCAACTCCAACTCCATGGTACAGTCCGCTCCAACTAGCAACTATACCATCCCACAAGAGTTATAATACACATTGACCTATTATTAGTTCAAAAAAAAACCAGCTGTTGACTCTTAAACTCAGTGCTTCTTAGTGACTTGGGCCTTAGAATATTTTATTTTCTCACCTGACATCTAATAGCCCATGGAACTCATCTTCCAGGGAATACACATAGAGGAATACTATTTCAGCATTAAGATATTCCTGGTCTCCAAATACTCTGCATATTCTAGGTCTAGATACCATCAACAGATTCAGAAGCCTTACAGATCCTACAAATTCTCTATTTGAGGTTTCTAATAGGTCACTAAGAACAATGAATGAATGAAGAAATGAATGAAAGTAATTTCTGTTTTTTATTCCTATAGTCCCCACTGAAAATTTTTCTTACAGTTTGTAGTTGCTTTGCCAAGATGCTTCAGACATATTTGGGATCACAGTTGCTCATCAAACTACCAATTTGTCATTAATTGAAGATGCAGTTAGCTATTTGATTATTCCCTAAAAGGCTGTTGCCGACAAAATTTCCCCTACTGAAAATACCTGTAGGGTCCGCTCCAACTAGCAGTTCTCAGAACCAGATAACACACAAAAGTTTTCACAATTTGCCTTAGGTTTAGCGTGATCTCCCCAAAACAGCAGGAGTGAGCTCTCCCACATGATCTCGTTATGTCTGTGTAAAGACTGACTTTGAAAATACTGTGTCGTGAAAAGAAAACATGTCTTTGAAAGTCAAAGAGGCATCATTAAAATAGTTTTCCCTCAGGAGACTGCTTAATGGCTTCTCAAAACAAAATAATAAGTAAAAAGGAAAGGATTTACTAGGTATCCAGATTTTAGAATTGTATAGTTCTGAGTTCTGTTTTATGTAACTAATAAGTACTGTCCCCAGACCACTAACATAGGTGATTCTCTCAGAGAATACCTTTATCTGCTCCACAAATTCTCATCTAGTAAAGATCCATTATATTTACATTATATTTAAGTTGAATTTTACATTATATTTTGCCAAGCTATGGCAAAAGATTGCCTGAGATAGTATAGTATAAATCTTTGGAGTCAGATATATGTTCAAACCCTATTCTAACAATTATAAAATGTGTAACCATGGGGGGGCCATTTAACTTTGCTGAGTCAAATTTCTCTATCTGTAGAATGGATGCTATAGCACCTACCACAAACCAAGGGAATCCAACGAGACAGTGGATAGAAAGCATTTAAAAAGAGGGCCTGGAAAATAGTAAAATGTGCTAGAAAATGAGCATTACTACTCTAAGTCGCTGATTTTCAATTAGTGTACTCCCCAAATTTTTAACACATCCAGGGGCACTGACTTTTTTTCCCTTAGATTGTCAAATTTAAAAAAATGACAACAGCCAACACAATAGCCATCCAATGTGAATGAGTTAAACTTAACATCTATTTTTCTGTCATGTAGGCAAAGAATATTATTTTGGTGTGCCACAGAATTTTAATAATTAGTTTATATGTGCCATGAGATGGAAAATGTTCAAAATTGTTGCTCAAAGCTATTATTTTCATCCAGGAAAACTTGCAGAATTACTTTTCTCTATGTAGAATTTCTAGAGTATCATACTGAAGCATCTATTTCTTTAAAGTACATACCACATTGATTACATTCCTTAATTAAACAAATGCTCAAGTCACTAAAGATTGCAAAATAAGGAAGTCCTGGCCACTGAATGGTCACAATCGAGTCGAGCAACAGCCACAGTGCAAATCATAGCAGCATATGACAGAAAGTATATTATGGGAGATGTGTGATCACAGTGGTGAGGGAAGACAGGGAGGGGGCGGCAAATTCGGCCCTAATAAGCGGGCTCAGGCTTCCTAGGCAGAAAGATGAGGATCTATGCCCTGAGGAGTCGGGAGATCTGATGGGTGGGAGACAATGGAGTCTCTCAGCAGATGAGTCAGGGAATAGATGTTCAGCAGGGATAGAGAATGCATTCATGTGGATTAGAGGAAGAACAAGAAGAACGAGGCACAAGAGTGTTCACATCTGAGACTGGAGACGTCAAAACTGATCAGGCTGGAAAGAAAAAGGAAAAAACAGGAATTAATTAAGTCACTGGACATTTACTATAGCTGGCATCATAGCAGGTGCTTTACCTATGGTTTTGCATCTAAATCGTGTAAAAACACTATGAGATGAGTAGCATTATCTCTGTTGTGCAGGTGAGAAAAGTGTTGCTCTCAAAAGTTAAGCAAGTTGCCCCAAGTTGCATAAAAAGACACTGAAGAAACTTGGATTCTAGCCCAGGTTTGTCAGATGACAGAGCCCACGCCAACCTCTATTTTAAGCAAGAAGCACCAGCAGGGGTCTTGAAAGAAGTGACCTCATCAAAAAAAATTTGAAAGGGAAGTATGGTGACAGAATGTAAGCTGGTGGATTGGGTGGAGATCATGCTGGGGACTGAGAGGTAAATTAGGGGTCCTAACAGTTTTGTGGGAGGAAGATGAGGAAGGCCTGCGTGAGCCAGCTCCTGTGCAAATAGAGAGGAAACACTTCTTGGAGCGACTCGAAGCTTGGTTACCAACTGGATGTGAACATACCTCGAAATCAAATCTCTAAACCCAGATAGGATAAAATATGTGCCAGGAAGAAGAGTGAAGCACTTCATTAAAAACTGCCACACTAATTTGGAAGAGCAGAACCAAACAGGAGTCATTATGTCACATAGAGTGTGGTCCAAGACCAACGATGCATCGCTGCACCTAAAGGGTGGTGGAAATGCCAAATTTGTTACCCCGCTCAGGACATTCCTCATCAGCATTTTTATAAGATCTCTAGATGGGAGGAGGGGGAGGAGGATGGGGGTGGGGAGCACTAGTCTAGGTGAACTAATATTGAGGGTAAGAAAGAAAAAAAGCATCAGAGAGGCAATTTTCTTAGGAAAAAAATAGGCTCTAAACCCTGAATTTCCACCATGAATCTAAAATCTTTCAAAAGCATTCTGGTTAGCAATGATTTTATTTCACATTACTTTCATTATGTTAATTAGTTTCTAGAAGAAGTAGCAGCCACAGGTGCTGACACTGCCAAGATGTAAAAGGCAGATGCTCCTTCAAATTCAGTACTTTATTAAAAAAACTGCCAAATCCAGCTGCAACCGAATGATTAGGTAGCATTTGATCTGCTCGCTTGGAATGTCAGCAGGGATACTGCTTACATAAGCTCTACGCTGCCTCGGATTGTCCTTCAGTTACTGGGAAAACAGAAATCCCAAAGAGAGTTTATTTTATCATCATGATTAATCAGAGTGGGACAGAACAGAAAGATCTTAAAATTTTTTTCTGAACCTTCGATCAGTTCATTCAACACATGGGTTTGTGTAAGTGTACGAGGTCTGTCTGGAAAAAGTCCAGCCATGGCTCATACACCTTAAACTTGGGCGGGAAGCAAGCCGTTTACATCCCTGGTCTGGTCAGTGCACACACTTCCCTGTGATGGCACGTTCCTGCTGCGTGAAGAGTTTCCATGGATGTCTTTTTCATCATCACTGTTTCTCAACAAATCACTGTTTGTTAACATCATCACTGTTAGTTAACTATGTACAGGCAGGATTTAGGCTCTCGGGCACAGAGGGAAACGAAGCCGCCACTGCTCACGTGACGTGGACCTGACATTCAAGTGAGCAAAACAGATAATGAACAAATAAAAAGTGAGGTCTCATAGTGACAGACGACAATGAAAAAGCCCAGTGTAGTACATATAAATGGGGACCAGAGCCAGGGGGATGCTGTTTTAGCCAGGGCGTTGAGTCAGATTTCTCCAGGGAGTCGACGTTTGAGCTGAGATCGGAATAAAGTAGAGGTTAGACCTGGGAGGAGAAGTGTTGCAGGCAAGAGGAACAACAAAGGCAAACGCACAGCAGGCGTGTTTGGGAAGGGGCAGGAGTTAAACTTGGCTGGAGCAGAGTCAATGAAAGAAAATGGTCAGCCTGGTGCCAGATCGGGAGATCCTTGAAGGACCTTGAAGGCAACGATAAAATGAAAACAAAAAGCAGACAAAAATGTTTCATTTACTGAGCAGGCCCCATACTAATAAGACCTACATACACTATTCAGTCTAATCTTCACAATAATTCTGCATTTCAGTATCATCATTATCCCTTAAGAAAACTGAGGCTTAGAGGGATTAATCAACATGATCAAGGTCTCACAACTACTAAGTATTAGAGCTGGGACTTGAACCCTGGTCTATCACCAGAGGCCATTGCCCTTTCCACGATGCTGGCACTACAGACACATCCCTGGAATCAAAGTTTACATGCAGCTTACCAGTGAAATTCTGAGAAATTCAAGTATACAATAAATATGGCTCTGGGTACTTCTATAGTAAAAAGGGAGAATTATATTCCCTAGTTTTTGTGGCAAATAAGTTTTATTTTGGTCACATTTTTCATACTCTTAACACAGGAAATTTCATTGAATGTTCAAATCCACCACAATTTTGTACTAGCATTTATTTCAGGTATAAAAAACCTGATGTTTAATACATGCAGTTAACCCCTCACTCAGACTCAGTAGACGATAAGCCATGATACACAGCTGCAGAGATACTTTCACTTCAAAAACACTTGGAATTTGAGATATAGATGTTCAAAATAATAGTTGGTACTTTCCACTGCTTCCTAAATTACATCGTCTTTGCTAATTTGTGCACCTGCTTTTCTAAATTTATCTCACAATACATGTATCCACTCAAGGAGGTCTGTTCCAATGATCCTCGTCCTTTCCTAGGTCGGTCTCCCGCACAAGAGCCCTTTCAGGTCTCTCTGCCCACTGAGACCTGGCTCTTCCTTTCACACCCTGCCCTTTTCACTGGAGCATTTAACACACTGCCCTGCCTGTGTAAGAGATTAACCTTCAGTACGTACATTCTGCTTCACCAGCTAACCACAAACAGCCTGACTTTGTCCTCAAGGTCTCTACGCACCTGCCTTTGCCCACTCACCACCATAAATTACAAGACTTTAGATAGATCTGGGGACTTTTTGATCATCAACAATTAATTCTGCACTCCCAACCAAATTTTTACATTCTGCTAACCACCACATTTCTTTGAATCCTTTACTTAGTTGAATAATTCTGAACTCATGCACAACTGATTGTCACCTTCACTACAACGTAGTCCTGTTTTCAAATCTGTCTGCAAGCATTTCCTTGGAAAACTCTTGGAATCTGAGTGATGCGAAGCACACTTTTTTTGGGGGGGACACAAAAACCTAATTGAGCCAAAAAAAAATAAAATCCACTTAAAATAAAAATACACCAGGTAACCCTCCCTTGTCCCAATGCCTTCTGTCCTGCAAACTGATACATCGAAGGGCCATTTCTCCTTGAGAAAGGTCTGCTCCATGGGGTAGGTTGTTCTAGAATAAATGGGACAGCTAGCTCTGTTTTCCATTTAGTCTGTGGTGACAGTATTACCCTAATCATAACCTTTCTATGAACATCTCAATAAAATTCTGTTCAACAAAACGATTTTTTAATAAAAACCAGGCATGTCTTAATTCTGCTTTTACACCGCAAATGGACCTAGTATTGAAGGCCATGCTAAACAGGTGTAAGTTATAAAAGGTTGTTGGTTTTCAAGATTGGCTAGTATCTACGCTGTTTTCCAGCAGTTTGTTGAAGTGCAGCAGCTGAAAAAATTCTGTGTTTGTAAGGAAACTGCAGTATCTAAAACTCTCCAGAAGCACTCCGAATGGCAGGGCTTTTCACCAATAAAACGTGAGATTCAAGTAACACATTGTCACTACTCGGCAAATAATAAGGAGCAGGTATAAGTATGACATCACCGCAAAACATTCTCATTGGCGGTGCGTCTGTGTGCTGGTCGCTGTTCTATTTGTGGAAGCAGCAGCCTTATTCAAATTAACCTTTTCACACAGAGGGGAGGAGGGAGGTGGTGAGTAATACTCTGCAGTCTTCTCCCTGAAGGTGATGTGCTTTCAAATTTGCTTTACCTTGCCGTTGAGCAGGCAAAATAAAAATAAATTCAGCTGTGGCAGTGTTTCAGCGGGATCAAAGCTGCTCGAATTAGATCAGGTCAGTGAAAAGGAATGGATTAGAAGCTGTTGGAGAGTTAAAGCAAATTTCTGGATTTTTTTCTCTTTGCTCTTATTCCTTCCCCCCTTACTATTTCTCCGTGTGTTATTCCTGAACTCGACTGCTGCACAGACTAAACTTGGTATCCCTCCCATCAGCCATTCGAGGGAGGAATGTCTCTGCATATTAATTCCGCTTTCCTGAGCTATCTGGGGGCCTGGCAGACAGGTCAGGTGAACGCATCGTTTTCTGGCATTTTAGAAAGACTCAGGAGTATGAAGTTGATGAGACAGTTTAACCACATTGGCTGCAGTCTGTGAGGAAGTGTCCCTCTCTGTCAGGTCACTGTTACATAATACAGGGCCTCCAGCTACCTCAAGCATACACGGGAGGGCCCACTCTGTTTCTAACCCTTCATATTCGGCTTTAATTTAAGGGAGCTCCCATGTAGGTGCCGTCCGTACATCTATCCACTCTCCTTCTGGATTGGCTTCTAGTACTTTGCATAACTTTACTTAAATAAAATGCTTTGAGTCTTTGGCCTTATTTTATTTTATGTCTTCAAGCTTGTTTCACTCCCTCTTGTCATCTACAAAGACCAGTCAGAACATAAACCACGAATAATTTTGAGTCCTGCTTTCAACTAACTTTGCTTTAGTCATTTCTGTTTCCAATATTTGTGTTTTCTTCCCTTTTACCTCTTCCTTCCTACCTCAATGTGCCTCTACTTACCAGAGACAATTTAAAAAAGTGAGTGACAAAAGTCTGTGGAAAGTTGACAATAAACCTATTATCTCTGCCACAGTATATATGGGCTTTCTCAGTCTGTGTGGGCTCCTACAACAAAACATCACAGACTGGGTAGTTGATAAATAAGAGCAATTTATTTCTCGCAGTTCTGGAGGCTAGAAGTCTGAGATCAGAGTGCGCTGAGGACCCTTTCCAGGTGCAGGTTTCTGCTTTTATCCTCAGATGGTGGGAGGGGCTCAGGTGCTCTTGAGAATGGGAGCGGGATTGTCTTTTATAAGATCACTCATCTCGTTCATCAGGATCTACCCTCATAACTTAAGCCCCTCTAGAAGTTCTCACCTCCCAATACTACCATCACTGGGGGGTTACAATTTCAACATATGGATTTAGGGGGTGGAAGAGACACAAATATTCAGACCATATCACAGTGCAGGCAGAAGCAGCTGCATTTCAGGTCAGAAACAAGTACTGCACACAAACAGCTCGCTCACTAGCTTTGCTCCAAACTCAAGGCTCCGTGCTGCACTGGTGCCTGCTCTTAAAGAGACGTTAACCTCTGAGATCTTAGCGCTTCACTTGCTACTCTGCTAAAAATATTTACAATCTTGTCATCAAATGCTAATGACACCATTTCCAGGATGACACTCCATGTTACAATCCCATGTGGTCTCTCTGTCCTTGTTTTGCTTCTCTAACTTACAATTCCTTTAAATTTATCTGGGTGTTGTAACTGTTATGGGGGCCCTAACAAAACTGTACGGATTCAAAAAATAGTAGTTTGTCTGAAGAAGGTCCCCGCACTATATTTTCATCACTGCTGAATGAATAACGCAAGGGGCAGCGGGCCGCAGAGAAATGCTGGGAAGTTTGTTGGTCAGTGGGGAGCAGGTGTGTGCGGGGGCAGAACAGAGGCAGGAAGTAGAAGGAGCAGACTCTGTACGTCACTGCCACTCACAGAACCTGGACCTGTCTGAACTCTGCCAGAAATTACTGTGAACTGTTCGCTTTTTCGTGGGTAGCTGCTGAAACCCCATGGACCAGGGATCTGGAGCAGTTTTTAGCACAGTTCTCTCTGTCGCTGAAATCTGCCAGTCTTTTGTGCCCTGAATCCACGTTTTGACTTCTCGCACCTTTCCCTACTCCCAGCCCTTCCTCTGAAAGGAGACTGCTTCGCAGCCTACCTTGGCACACTGTTGAGAGCGGCTCTGGGGCTGCTGACTTGACCTGGCACACCGCGCGTTCCCAGCTCACAATGCCTGAATGCTGCATTGTTCCTGTGCTGAATGAAATTTTTGAAAATGACTTTCAGATGTTAGAGTCCCATTCTGATGCTGTCCCCCCCCTCCTTGCCATTTATAATCTCATAAAACTCATTATCTTTGTTTGACTCTGGACAAAACTGAAGCGGCTCATAAAACAGCATCCTCGATGAGGTAACTGATACCAATTTGAAATGCTTCAGCTTAAGACCACTACCAAATAATTTAATTATTGCCTTTCCACTGTACTTACCTTTTAGTTTGCCTGTTTGCTTCCTTGGCTGTAACTCTCAAATCCACTGGGTTATTTTAGGCAGTGCCCAAAAATTATTGTGACCTTCTTTATCTGAACTCTGATCGGAAAGCTGCCTAGTTCTTCCCAGGTTTTTTTTTCTCCCCCCACCCGCTTCAAACCAGAAAAGTAGCTGCTGAAAGCAGAACAGTTGCCATGGCAACCCCTTGGCAGCTTCCTCAGCTAGTAACAGTGTTGATTTCCGAGGAGGAGGCCGGGTGGGAGGGGGTGGAGCTCGGAGGAGGTAAAGGAAGGTTACTGTGCACTTAGTTAATATGCAAAACCACTTACACAGTGCTGGATGTGCAGTGAATAAGTGCAAACAAAGCCATGCTTCATCAGCTAACATGGACTTTACACACTAGTTGATCTGTCCAAGGATGCAGATGTTGGCTCAGAGAGAAATTTTGCAACTGGACAGTAAAGGGCACAAGCGATAATACTGCACGAGGTTAAACAATAATTTTGGGATGGTTGGTGGGAATGGAAGAAATAAATAGAAGTTGAAGTGTATTTGCCTTGCTCCTCTGTGTTTTGTTCAAAGGAAAACAGCAATCTAAATCACAGGGATGGTGTTTTCTCTGAAATCTAACACACTGAAGTTCAAGTTTGCATCAATTAAACTCTATGTAAGATAAACCAATATGTTCAGATATAAGCAAGTATAGCATAATTTGGTTTGTGCTTGAACAAAACATACGGCTCAAGTAGCATCTTTCACCTCCGAGTTTTCAGACAAAGAAGCAGTGTATAGCAACTTAGGGCTGGGAGTGGAGGCAGATCCCTCGAATATCTCTGTCTCTCTCTCTCCCCCCAGCCCCGAACTTTGATAGATTCCTGTTTGTTTCCTGGGGGCTGCAAAGGTTGGAAATACTCGTAAATCCCAAGAGAGTATTGGGAAGACTCTGGAGCAGTGTTGCTCTGGCAGAGGACACCTGCATGAGACAAGCAGACTGGCTGCAAGCTGAGGAGGCAGCCAGCCAGCTCCTCACCACGGGGCCTTTAATATCTTTGCATGTTAAAGAAGAGGTAGATGCTTAAAAAGCCTGCAGTGGTGAGCCGAGGTCTCCCCACCAGGTGTCACTAGGGATTTAAAGCTTACCAGACATTTGGGATGAGGCCTAGGAAACAGCCAAGCAATGATTAATGAAGCTTACTAAAATATTTTTGAGAGGTTATATGTGAAATAATTCCAAGGAGATCTCCTTCCCAGGGAAATTAAAATGACAGCTACAGCTTGGTTTAAATGATTTCTCGGCCTTTTTCTCTAAGACTCTGTCTCCATTTCGGAGTCGTCCATTCCAAAAACCAGACACGCATATAAAATTCATGAAAGGCGCACTGAATCCAATACCGTGAAGAAAATACAGACGCAAAACCAAAGTAAGGGAAGAAAATGAGGGTTATAGCAGAGGTTCCCACCTACAAAATGAGTCCCACGTCCTAACACCATAGATGTGAATTTTGTAATCTCAGGGTCAAGGTCAGAGTTCACTGCAAAAAATGCAAGTGCCCCAGAAGTTTCTGTATAAGTGTTGTCAGCTTATATTTTATCAATGGTTAATGTTTTTTAACAAAGCCACATGAAGACTATCTCTACTTTTTAAAAAAAACTGCATTGAAAATATTACCCAATTTAGGCACCTAGGAATATGCATTTGATCATTTTTTTTCTGGGAATTAAAGAGTAGGCAAATTTTGTCTCTCTTGAGTACTTTCATGCTGTTTCCTTCTCTTTTTGTCTTGTCTGCCTGAAAGCTCAACATCAGATTTCATCAGCTTCCCTTGCTTACATATTCTTATGTAATTTCTCCTCCATGGAACTTACATTATTTAAATAATGACTTCCTATCTTGTTGCATATCATTTTATAGTTTTAATTCTCCTGCCCTTTTTGCTGTGAGAATGACCTCACATCCATTTTGGCGTAATGTACCCACTTAGAAAGAAGGGAAGGAGAAGAAAGGAGAAGAACAAGAGAGAGAGAAGGGAAAGGAAGAAATAACACCACCTGGTTATCAACACTCAGCTTCTTATGATGAATTCATTAATCCTTTTATCTTCAGTTATCCTTTCAAAGGTAGTGCAAGGGTGCTGGAGCAGTGGTTACGTGTGCTAACCACTAAGCTTACGTGTGCACGAGAGGCCTCCGTGTGCCTAAGAAGACAACCTGAGCACTAAAGGCGTCTTCAGTGCTATAGGAGAGGAGAAGCTGGAAGAAGAGGTGTTCGTGCATGAAAGACATACACCCACTGCAGGCCTTGGTTGAGAATTATCAGGGCGCATTTGTAGTTCTCTTAGAGCACTTTACAAAGGTACAGCTTGCAAGTAAAACTGCACCTTTGTACATGTAGATATAATTCTTCCCATCTAACGCATGAGAGAAAGAAACTGAGGCTCTGAGGTGTTGTCATTTAATTGTGCGACATATGTAACAGAGTCAGGATGAGGAACTAGCCACCTGCTCACATTTTTGCTACAGATGATAAGTCCAGCCTGGTAAGAATAAAAGAAAACCACAGGGCCCGCAGGGACATCACACAAGTAACCCTCTGTTTTCTGTTCTTTCTCCTGGGGATGCCCTATCACCCAATACCACCAAGGAAACTCTCCCACAGATGAAAACACCAGTTTGCAGGCAAATAATTGTGGCAAAGTTTCAAGAAGATTTTTATTCAGTCATTCTATTTATTTCTGTTTTATGAGGGAAAGAATAAATGGCTTTAGTAGTACAGATGTCTCCAGACCCATTTTCTAACCACGCTTCTAACCATTTCTCTAATCATTTAACTGATGCTGTTTTAATGAAAGCTATTGTTATTATGCATTATTAATAAAGGACTACCATTACTATTAATATCACTTAGGAAAGATTCTATAAAGAGGTTTGAGACTACAGATGCAATAAACGAGAATCCAAATTCTCCATGGTATGAAAAATAGCAGGTAGGGCTGGCTACACACATTTGATCTTATAAAAGTGATATAAAGGTTGTAAGTGGATTTCACATGCCTACAAGAAAAGAAAACATAAGATTTATGTATACAATAACTTATCTGCCTCTATATGGAGAGAAAATTGATGAGTTGAGAGGAACTTTCATGCACCTTTGATCTCATGAACATGACAATGGAATGAATGTATTACCTTGCATTTCAGGGAGTTCATTCTTACCTAAAAGGTCAGACTCATAAGGGGTGAACATATTTACACTTTCAAAGAGGATACAGAATATTGGATGAGTGGGAATGTCATTATAATTCTGTGACATATTGTAAATATACTATGAGGCCCACATAGTATATTTTAGAGCTGAGCCCACAGGAGTGGGGCCAAGCCCCCTTTCACATGTCCTCCCTTTGATGACATTCACATTGAAAGGTTCTGCCCTGGCCTCGAAGGCTGCCACTGCCTACCAGGCTCAGAGCCATAAGATCACACTGTCTCTTTGTTAAGAAGGGATAAATTAGAAGCAACTTGAGTACATCCAGAAGAAGAAAAGCCTTGGCCTTTGACACCCCTATTCTATAAATAGAAAAGGAAGACTGACTGTGGTCTCATTACCTTCCAGGTGAGGATGAAGTTCTGCATTCTGATGAAGGGATCACCTCAGCAGAGCAGGCCAATTTACTCACCATCCTGGGGAGCCCTGTGTTCTCCAAGAGGGATCCCACTGCTTTACCTTTGTTCTCTGAAAAGGGGGCTGTTCCACAGGTTCCATTTGGAATAACAACCTCCCACATGCCCTTCTAACACTTTTGTTTCTGAGTCTGTTTTAAGAATTTGCCAACCGCCACTGTTTTAACCTGGTATTCAGCCTCATTGTGGGACTAAAGGACGCATATCAGCTGGATGGCCTGAGGGCACACAGGACAAATCCATCAGTTACAAGATCTTGGGGTCTGTCTCAAGCTCTGAGACACTTACAAAACTTTTATATATGCTTATAGATTGTTTTTGACCAAAGCCTCAGTCTAATCATCTTTTTCTAGATATGCACAGACTTCAGTTCTTTTCAAGCCTATAATTTAATCTCACGTTGGTCAGGTACATATTGTTACCCCAATTTTAACAGATGTAGAGACAGAGCCACGGGATTTGAGAGTGGAAAGAGTCATGGAGTGAGAAAATGGAAGGATCCGAAATAAAATCCAAATTCCCCTGATTTCTAACCTAATGCTCAGTCTATGCATTGGCGTGTGTTCTCTTAGTAGTAAAAATTCAAAACACCTGTGAAGCAATGTCTGCATGGACACAGAGTGTGACCTCTCCTCTGGGTGAATTGTTTCTTCTGATTTATTAATGCAAAATTCTTGGGTTAATCCACTGGTCTTACTTGTATTTTTACTTCCTTTGCTGTTTTTCAAGTTATAGCACAGCCAGTAACAACAATACATGTTCATAGAAATTTTAAGTTATGCCATTGTCTTCCTCATAGTTGTATTTATCAAAGGAAAGCATCTTTTTTTTTAATGTTCAATTTTTTTTATTGATTATGCTATTACAGTTGTTCTATTCCCCCTTCATTCCCCTCCACCCTACCTCCCCATCCCCACCATCAATTCCCCTTTAGTTTATGACCATGTGTCTCAAGTCCTTTAGATTCTATATTTCCCATGCTATTCTTGCCCCCCCCATCTATTTTCTATCTACTGTCTATGCTACTTATTTTCTGTACCTTCTCCCCCCTTCTCCTCCTCCCCCTCCCCTGTTGCTAACCCTCCTTGAGATCTTCATTTCTATGTTTCCACTCCTGATCTAGCTGTCCTTTTAGTTTGCTTTTGTTTTAGGTGTGGTTGTTAATAACTGAGTTTGTTGTCCTTTCACTGTTCATGTTTCTTTAACTTCTTTTTCTTAGATAAGTCCCTTTAACGTTTCATATAATAAGGGCTTGGTGATGATGAACTCCTTGAATTTGATCTTATCTGAGAAGCACCTTATCTGTCCTTCCATTTTAAATGAAAGTTTTGCTGGATAGAGCAATCTTGGTTGTAGGTCTTTAGATTTCATGACTTGGAATACCTCTTTCCAGCCCCTTCTTGCCTGTAAGGT